CTTCATAGGCCTTAGCTTCTTCATGTCAAGAAAATTACATAATTTTTATTTAACTTTGATGTGACTTTAATGTTAGATGTTGAAGGTGGCTTTTCTTCTGGAGGTACAATCTGTTCCTTTACTCAAATGAGTAGGTCATATGAGGTGTTGGAGCTCAAGTATTCTCTTCACTGGCCATCCATCTCACAAACCATTAATCAGAATCTCTATGTGGGCTCACAAGCTGTGAACAAGTTGCCAAAGGGCTGATTATGAACACATGTATCTGAATGCTAAAACTGTACAAAGCCAGTTGAGAAAACAGGTATAAATTTGAACTTCTAGTGAAATTACAGATTTTTTTTTTCCCTGTCTTCCAGTATCTTCTAATCAAGACTGAATGTTTTTCAAGAAAACATACTTCAGTTCAATTCATACTGCTGAATTTATTTTCTAGCCATGGCATTTAGCAGCTTCTCAGATTTAATAGGGTCTAGGTCCTTTTAACTTTATGTTCTGAGTTTACAGAGGGGCAGGTTGGACTTGAATTGTCCATATAAACAATCCTTCATGTGATGCCTTCTTTCAAATGCACATGTAGGGAGTTCTTCATTGTTCCTAATTAGGATGCAGCTTCTTGGAAAATTAGTTCTTTGACAGCAACTGTAACAAAAACCTGCAAATTTAAACAAGAACTGAGAATCCCACTGAGACTTTTATTAACAACAAAATCAAAGATCTGCAAAATGTGTTTTGTTTTTCTGCCCCTTAGCATCTCTGAATCTTGTGATTCCAGACCATGTTTAGTCCTCTGTCAGTACAGACACACCTGGGCATGTATCAGACATCACGAGTATCCTCCCAGTCCATAATAGATCTGTCCTCACTTACTAATGCAACATGTTTAGAAAGGGTCTATAAAGAGCAATTGAAATCATGTCCGTATCATATTTCCCCATAGCTCTACACCATTTGTGACCTACCAGTGATCAGGAAAAAATTGCTGTTCTCTTGTTTAGCTAACTGCCAGAATTGCATTTCACATAAAGAAGGAACAGCTAAAAACATTTGGATCCTACTATATTCTGTCCAGTTCAACTCGAATCGACACTATAAATCTGCATTAAATCAGCTAACTAAAACCTGTTCTTGTCTAAACTATTCTCAATTAAAAATAATCCCTCTAATATCAGAGAAGCCAGAATAAAGGTGAAAAGAAAATATTCCTAAAAATAAACAAAAGCCTAGGCATAAAATCCAAACTGATGTAAACCTTAACTACTGATCTTGTTCTGAACAAAATACAAGAATCTGTTCATTAAATACTTGTGGTTTAGGAACCTTTCCTCATGGGGAGAATGACCAACAAAAATTGCTAAACCTAGAATCAGTGTATGTCATGGGTAGTTATATCTTTCCCCTGCATGCAATAATTGACATTCTTTTTTCAAAATTGCCGCAAGTTCAACAAGATACTGAAGAACCTACTTTTGTTCAGAAGAACCACTCAAACATGATGAATTATGTGCTTCGTGCCCATCTGAATGGGACCAAATGAAATAACAAGTTGAAGAGTTAGTTATTTATGCCTTATTATCCAAACAGATGGAACAACTAGAGGAAAAAAATTCAGTGTATTTCAGGCTTTGTTCCTATTACAGACAAAATTCCACTAGCTGACAAGGGAGCAGTTTACATGTCTAGGATCTAAACTTTCAAACAGCTCCAACTCTTTGTTTTTACAGGAAGAACATGAGCCGTGATTGACCTCCTTGTAATTATTTGCTCTGATTTGGATACAGACGATAAAGCTGGAATCATAAAGTGAACACAAATACAGAAATGGCTTGTTGCTACTGAATCTACTTTAAAAGCTCTAATGCAGCATCATTTTTTTTCTGCATCATGGTCTGTGAGCATTACCTCAGAAAAAGCCAGTCTGAAATCACACAAAAAAGTGAGCATCTTTCTGGAGAAGGTAGAAGGAAATTTTGCATCTCTGTTCTGCACAAGCAAGTAATGGATTCCTCCTCTTCTGTAATAGCACTCATCTGCTCTTTGTGCATATTACAGCTACTAACCATTATCTCTTCTCTATACAGCATAATTGCAGCAGATCCTTGAGGCATTACTTTGTGCAATTCCAGTGACCTGAGTGGAGGATTTGGCCTGCCTCTACCAGACCTACCATGTTGCACGCATAAAGCAATATCGTCCTTTCAGCCGTTTACTGAGCCCCTTTATTAAGGTTGCAAATAAAGTCAGTAACTATAATCATGCTTTTGGTTGTTGTGGATCCTGGCTTGGCTAGGAATCATTGGAGATAAACATCTCATTTCAAACAGGCTACTGAGCAGATGGTAATGACTTTTAATCACAAGCAACATGAGGCAAATCTGAAGTAATGCCCTTGAGATGAACAGTTTGTTACATCATTCCCACCATTCTGAATGCTGAATAACCTTGCCCCATGAAGAGAGCCATGTGTGATTTATGTACACTTAGACTTCCAGCTCACTAAAAATACTGACAGTCATTAATATTTTTTCACAATTCTTATTTTGGACCCTTATCCAATGCCCATTGAATCCAAAGCAAACCTCTTCTTTCTAAGCCTTCAAAGACTCCATCTGCTGCAGTAACGAAGTGTTGTGTTTTAAGTGCTGATGCAGAAGTTTGGGAGACCTACAAGAACTTCCTGCTCAATACTAAAAATGAGAGTAGGGATAGTTTCTTTAGTCACCTGAAACCCTGTCCTCAAAAAAAAACCAAACCAAAAAGGAAAAAGCTTTCTGCAGTTTGTGGAAACAGTACTGGGAGTCAGACACTGACCTTCAGCTCATGCCTGATGCCTGTGTCAGGTTAGATATATCATTTTAAACAATTCTCTGCTTAGGTCAGTCCTGAGAAGGCAGTACAGGGAGTATTTTCACAGGCCCCCATCTGCCACTGCATTATTGGAAAGCTGAGGTGCTCTTTGCATTAAGGACAAGTTTATGCCAACAGCAGAGCTCTCATTTCTGCATAATCTCCCTCTGATCCCTTGCGATGTTTTCAGAGCAGTCTGCTGACCCAACGATACTGCTGGCCATGATGGTGTGACAGGTTTGCATTTCAGTCCTTGGGCTGTAATCTCTTTGCTCGGAAGCTTACTAACACCATTTCTTAATAGTAATGTTTAAATAGTTTTGCTTGAGCCCGCTTACAGAGCAATCTGTGTTTAAGCTCCTTTTAGGAGGGAATTGGCGAGAATAGTTTTCAAACAGTTAGCCTGACTAAATCATGTCTGCAACAAAAACTCCGTCATGGTTTACAACGTGCTTTCCACAACTCTGCTTAAATTTTATCTCCATGTAAATCAGTATCAAGAAGAACTCTGACACCTCGTTTCCACATCGTGCAGTGACAGACACCTCTACCACCCACCAGGGAATCCACCCTCGCACCTTATGGTAACAGCAAATACTTCCACAGCCAGATTACAGCTATGTAGATGAGATCTAAGCAAATAAGATGCACAGAAGAGGCGTGCAGGGGAGGCTGGTCAGCATTGCTGATGGCAGGAAGCGTTGCCCATCTCATGGATGCGGTGGTAGCAGCCCGCAGCTGGAAGCTCTGGGCCCCGTGCGGCCTCTGTGGAAGGTGCAAGCAGGCACGGAGCGAGCTGTTGACTCCAGCACAGGCTGAAAAACCACACAGATACCTTGGTCCTGATCTGTGCAGAGAGAGCCATTGGCTTCGGCGGGAAGATTTGCTTCCCTCAAGCTCTGGGAAGGACTGGGAATGCGCATAGCCCTTAGCTAACCATGTATTTATTTCCCCCTAACAGCGTCTCTTCGTGGTTGCATCTGCAGGCTCTTACAAATGAATACACGAAATGCACGAACGACACAACCAAGCTCTGGGTGCCTCGCTCAAGCATAGCTCGCTTAAACGCCTTGGGAGTGTTGTCAGAGAAGTGCGTCTGCCCAAATCAGGCCTGAAGAGGAAAACCCACACGCTGTGCAAGCCTGCCTTCCCAGTTCGCTCTTACATGGCACATACAAAGGTGAGATGATTTATGGACTCAGCAACTAGTCAGCAGAGCAGAACTCTTTCAAGTTGGCCAGCGAAGGCACGAC